GCCTAAAGAATATACAGGCTAAGCATCCACGTTTTAAATTCCTCAATTTTTTTCTGTTGATACTGCTGCTGCGTCTCTACAAAATAAAATGTCACTGATAGCATTACGTGAAATTTAAAAAATCCTATTAGACCTACTTTGAATGACAAAACGAATTTATTTGATTACCAATATTTACTTTATAGGCTTTTATACTTTAATTTACTTTATAGACTTGATATGCTACAACCATATAAAACTTGCTCACATTTTGCTTGCTTCCGCCTGTTCGCGTACACTGTAAAAAAATCTATTGTAAAATGTAAGTCAAAAGTCTGGCAGGTCCTGAAGACCAATAGTGCTGATGTATATTTGCATATCATGACAGGGTACTGCCTTTGTTTAAACTATTACCCATGATGGTGTTGAATAGGGCAACACTATAAATTCCTCAGCCACGGAGCAAAATAAGTTTTACTGCAGCAGTGTTTTTTTTGTAATATATTGTTTGTCGGCAGGCGTAAAAATAGTCTGACAGTTTTTTTTTGTTGCTATATTGCGGCACGTGAGCTATACTCCAAAAAAGTTTTGGCTATTGTTAGACTCACTCCTGCTCCCACTTACGTTTAAATTTCTAAAAAAAGAGTGGAGGAAGATTGACGTTACACCCAAAACAGAGAAGGATTACTCCTGGTATTCACCGGTAATAGTCTGATTGCTGACACTGACCCCTAGCTTAAGAGCTATCACCCTGGGCTGCCACATACCTAATAATACATGGGAGAGAGTAATATCTGTGGCATTCCATTTTCAGTTGTGGTAGGTTTATAAATATGGGTTTCCAAAAATCAAACCTAATAAAAAATTTAAATATTAAATGAGCAAATTGATTTCATTTGTTCTTCTGTCCCAACTTGTGATCTAAAAGCAATGAGGCTGCCACATACTGTAAAAAATCTACCGTAAAATAAGTCAAAAGTCTGGCAGCAGGAGTACCAGTACCTAAGGACCTATGCACTCAGACATCGTCATGCAACTGCCACACAGCTGCAGGCCCGTTTACGAGATGCGAGGGGTACTAGGGTTTCCAGACAAACCGTTCGCAACCGACTCCACCGCTTTGGCTTGAATGCCAGATGACCATTGCAGGTGACTCCACTGACACCAAGACACTGCCGTGAACATTTGCAGTGGACACAAGACCATGTGACCTGGACAATGCACCGTCCTGTTCACTGATGAGTGTCGGGTCACCTTGCACAGAAATGATTGTCGTCAGCATTGCTGGAGTAGGCGAGGTGAGCGATACGCTGAGGTCAACATGGTCCCCAGGGTTTGCTTTGATGGAGGAGGTGCAACAGTCTGGGCAGGCATCACCAGTCAGTGCAAAACAGATTTGGTTATACATGGTGTCCACTGGCTTTTAAAAAGTATTAAAAGGTATTACACGGAAATTTACGAGGTATTAAATTTTAGATTTTTTTTTAACTACAAATTGTCCATTTGTGTTTTAAAGTTTATCTGCTAAATTTCTC